AGTAAAAATTAAAAAAAAAAAAGTACAAAAGGTAGAGAGACACTGCCAAAAAAGTATTGACTCAAGGTCAGCGACCATTGACATAGAGTTTATTCCTTTTGGTAGACAACGCTCCAACACCAGGCCTGTTGCTTTGATTTCTCACACCCTTTCTCTATCTGTGCTTGCCTGAATTCCAGTCTGAGTTAAGGAGGACACTGTCACATCCATCCAAGAAGGGGTTACTGCTAGGAATTAGGATAGAAGCTACAGAGTGACAATCAGGATCACCTTCTTCACATGTAGCTGAAGGAGCTTACTGCAAATCTTCAAGCTTTACTTCCAATTAGAGAGTTTTCTGCAAACTAACTTGTCATTATAGTATTAAAATGTGCACAGAAGTTGGTCAACTATGTCATTCTATGTCTGTTTCATTTTTTTTTTTAAGATTGATGCATACAAAACTGGGGTACCGGCTAGAGTTGGGGGGAGCAGTGAGAGCATTCACCACAGACAGAGTGGGGAGTAGAACAAGCAGATGTAGTGAAGTGCACTGCTGAGGGGAGCAGCAGGTGGGACAGGAGAGGTTGGACACAACATGTGGGTCACCTCCCTGGCTGGGGATAGAACTCATGCTGCAGTGGCTGCAGTAGTTTCATGGTGCTGTGCTTTAATGCATTGTGCCGCCAGGGAAGGCCTGTTTTCCAGGTCTAATTCAAACAGGTCAAAGAAGGAGCTAAAGCTTCTGAAAACTGCAGGATATTAATCACCTGTGAGGTTTTTTTAATACAAATATAGTTCTCTTATATAAATATAGTACAATAAATACATAAAGCCCCTAGTTATCTGTTGTTCTGGGACCATGTGTATCATGGGTCATATTTTAAATGGTGGTGGCAAGACAACTAAGGAACTTGAAATATTAACTCTAGTTTCCGTTCTCTGGATTAAGTTTATTTTATTAACCTAGGTTTGTAAATTACAATAATTTTACTCCTTGTGTCTGAGTACACTCTTATCTTTGATCTTTACATGCTTTCTTTGTTTTATTTAGATTATTCATCTGCTTGTTAACTTATTTTGTCCATACAGAATTAATGGCTTCCAAATTAGTTTTCTTATCCATGAAATAAAGAAGTCAGATTCTCTGTTTTCTATGATTTCTTTCAGTTCTGGTGCTTCTTGGAGAGAATAAGGTCTGAAATGTGTTTGGCTGGATGCTATTATATAACTAGTGCTTAATAAGTGGTAGTTATGCCACAATTTATTATTACTATCTTTATTATATTTGACAAATTTCCATGACTGAACCTGAATTTGATACACTGGAAAATTGAGATTCTAATCTTCTCCATAAATGTGGAGATTCTGATCTCCTATTGGGCAGTGAAACTTCATGTGGTGTTTTTCCTGCATGGTCCCCTCCATGCTGTCAGTTACCAGTTTATCATTGATATACAGAATCTCAAATTAGAAGAGATATTAAAGGTCAGTTGGCAGCAAAGGATATAGCAGAGGAAGAAATGAGTTGTTTCTTCAAGCAAACTCTTCCCAGAATAATTCTTTTTTGCAGAGTTTCAAAATGGGTCCTTGCAGAATTCTTGCTCACTTCTATTAAACTGCCTGGATTTCTGTTCGTTGCATCTTACTAAGATTTTTGTTTAGAGTTGTGAGGGACCTTGACAGAGAGGCCCAGTGCTAGGGGGACCTCATTATCAAGTAATAAGTTGCTAAGTATAAGGCAGAGTAAAAAAAAAAAAAAAAAAA